CCGCCCCACTGGGGACTGACCAGGTCCTGGTGGTGTGGAGACTGCCCTGACACCCACCGTGTCCCCCCGAGCACAGGAGGCTGTGTCCAGAGACCCAGCCCCCCTGCAGGGTGCCATTTCCAGGGCTCTGGACCTCACGTGCAGCTGGGCTGATCACCAAAGCTGCCTTTAGGAGGGAGTGGGAGGCCCGTCCTGCCCTTCCAGGGTGACTCGGGGTCTGCCCAGCCACTGCCTGCAGGACATCAGTGGACACCCTGCAGCGGCTGGGGATGGCTGCCTAGCGCGGGAATCGAACCGTGACCGAGAGGCCGCACCCTGCCTGGCACCACTGTCCCATTTCACACAACGGGGAAGTCCCTGGGGTGTTTGCCGGCCCTGTGACCACTCTGGGGGCCCTGTGGGTGGGTAGGGTGTGGGCTGGGGGCGCCACACAGGCCCTGCGTTAGAAGGGAGCTGAGTGTCCCGTCTAGACCCAGGGATTCCCTGTGCCTCAGAGTCTCTTCCGGGGATCCCATGGGGCTCTGCGGCCCTGACCCCTCCCGGCTCACGGGGACAGGCGTTCCTGGGTGCACGCCAGTCCTTGGACCGAGAAGCCCGCCTGCCTCCCTGAATGTGGGTGCAGGCCAGCAGAGCCGCCTCCTGGGCCCTTGTCTGCAGCCCCTCTACTCGCAGCAGATGTTTCCAAAGCAAATCTTCCCCAGTTGTGTGGATTCTTTTACTCACCTGAGTTTGAGATATTTTCCCGTTGAGCATTGTTTTCAGTCAGTCTCGAGATCTCGAGCGTGCCCCTGACCGCGGTGTTCCGCCACGTGTGGGATGGGCTGGGACCCCAGCGGGGCCTGCCCTCTGTGCTGGCTTCTGGCCTGGTTGCCGGCCGCCTGCCCGCCCGGCTGGTGTGCTGAGCCCTGGTGGCCTCCAGGATTCCAGGGGACACGCCGTCAGGCACCTCCCAGCGCTGCGTTCTCGGTCACCCTGGAGACGGCCCCCTGGGCTCACGCGGCCTCGTGTCCTGTCGGGACTTTCCGGCGGGTTTGACTGAGGCACTGCTGACTTTGCGGGGACTTCGGCGTGGTTAGGGGGCAGCCGCCCATCTCCCTCCTGCGTCCGTGGCCGCCTGGGCCTCCGGAACTGCTGCGCTCTCTTTCAGAGCCCGCGCATGGGAACCTTCATTGGCGTCTACCTGCCGTGCCTCCAGAACATCCTCGGGGTGATCCTCTTTCTGCGACTGACGTGGATCGTGGGGGCGGCCGGCGTGCTGGAGTCCTTCCTTATTGTGTTCATGTGCTGCACCTGCGTGAGTGCTGAGGCCCCCGGGGCCCCGCCCAGGGCAGCCTCCTCGAGCGCTGCTGCCGCGGAGGGAAGTGGGGGCCAGTGGGACTCCATCCCTGCGCCTGGGGGGAGGACGTGGCCGGGGGCTTTTGGGGGCACGGTCAGCATGCGTGAGGACCCGCGTTTTGACACGGTCCCTTCCAGTTCACAAGCGCCTGGGCTTCCTGTTGGAAGGAGGGGCCCATGCCAGTGGCTTGTCCAGCCCCAATCCTGGCTCCCCACCCCCGCGCGTCCAGCGGCGCTCAGTGAACCAGGCCCCCTTCCCACCGCTCCTGGGTTGGCCGCGGCCCCCGCACGTCCTGGGCACCTGCTGTGGCAGGGCTCGCCTGCCCCACTCTTGCTGTGGAGACTGGAACTCGGCTCCTCCCATCCGCCAGGTGTGAGTGCCCTGGCCCCAAGAATTCAGACAATGCAGGCTGTGCCCCCCGCGGCATCGCGGGCTGTGGCCTCACCTTCTAAACTGCATCACGTCCTTCCTCCTGTGACGTTTTTCACTGGGGAAATCCGGACGGATCTGGAGTAGTTGCCATAAAACCAGATAAAAATCAGGAGAAGGACCAGGGGCTTCTTCAAGTGGGACCTTCAGCCAAAGCTGTGCCCGGTGGGATCACGGTGACCATTGAGGCCCTAAGCTCTCCCGAGGCTGTTCCTTCTGGTCCTTCGGTTGCAGGCTGCCCCCCAGCCTGTAGTGCGGTCACTTCTGAGCTGTGCTGGGGGCACTGGAGGCAGACCTGCCTGGGATAGCTCTGGAGGTCCTGCATCCAGCCCCTAGGGCAGGCACCCAGACGGGGTCCCCCTTGCACCTCACGGCGGGTGAGCACCCAGACGGGGTCCCTCTTGCACCCCACGGTGGGTGAGCACCCAGACGGGGTCCCCCTTGCACCCCACGGCGGGTGAGCACCCAGGCAGGAGCTGGCCTTTCATTCCAGGTGGGGTCCTGAGTTGGGTATTTCTGGGTGGCCTGCAGGAGCTCAGCTTGGGGCATTGAGTGGGAGATTGGGGGCAGCCCTGAGCACCCTGGAGCCCGTGTGCCTGACTGCTCCGCAGCCCCTCTGCGATGGGGCCGGGTGTGGCCCCCGAGGGGCCCTCTCCTGTGAGAGGATCACCTGTGTCTTTGCAGACGATGCTGACGGCCATCTCCATGAGTGCCATTGCCACCAACGGTGTGGTCCCAGGTAAGGGCGCTGGGGCAGGCCGTGTGGGGTCCCGAGCTGAGCCCTGCCGGGGACCCATCCAGGGCGGCCTCCGCCAAGGCGGGCAGCACTCTGCCCCACAGGGCCCCAGCGTGCATGTGCCCTTCCCTGCTTGGTAGCCAGCCTGGAGGACGGAGACCTCCACATCTGGTGGGCAGGCAGGCAGACTGGGGACAACCTCTGCACAGTCAGGCTCCCCCGGAAGCCATCAGCAGGGAGCTTGCCTCCAGGCAGAGGTGCTCACGGGCTGCTGGCTCTCACCGGTGCACCGCGAGCTGGTGCCTGGTGTCCTGGGAGGCGTCTTGTGTCCCCTGAGGGCACCACGGGCTGTCCTGAGACCAAGGTGGGGCCCCTGCGCACACTTGTCCGCAGCCCCTGACCCTGCGCTCAGGGTGCTGTGACATTGGGATTCTGCTCCCTGTGGGAACCTATGTGAACACTTCCCGAACTTTCTTAGGAAATCTTGCCTTTGATCTGTGGTTGGAGATACTGCCATTTTAGGAGCTGCTTCCTGCTTTTGGTTCTGGGGTTAATTTCTCCCAGACCCTCATTATCTGGAAATAAACCGAAGCGCCAGGGTGGGCAGTGCCTGCCGCCGGCACCGTGTGGCCGGTGTGGAGGCCTGGAGAGCGGAGGGGCTGTGGGGGCTCTGGGGATGGCCCTCGGTCTGGGCCGGGGGTGCTCGGCTGGGTGGGCAGGGGCCTCAGGCGAGGAGGGCCGGGAGGGACGCTGTGCTGCATCTCCAGGTCCTGGGGAGGCCGCCCGTCCCCAGAGGCTCCGTGCCCCTGCGCATGGCAGTGGTGTGGATGTGTGGATCCACAGTGATGTGTCTTCATCCACCAGCCGGGTCTGGGGTCGGGCGTGCTCTGGTGCAGGACGGTGCTCCAGCAGCCACAGGTTTCCTCAGCCTTTTTGGGGCAAAGTGCACAGAATCGCGGTGTTGGGTCCAGCGTTGGCCTCACAGTAAACGGTGTGCCGCTGACCTGCAGCTTCTCTGTCCCGTTGGCAGCTGGTGGCTCGTACTACATGATCTCGCGGTCCCTGGGGCCTGAGTTCGGGGGCGCCGTTGGCCTCTGCTTCTATCTGGGCACGACCTTCGCCGGGGCCATGTATATCTTGGGGACCATTGAGATTTTTTTGGTAAGTGCCTTGTTTTGGGCTGGTTTTCTGGACGCCGAGGAGTCCCTCCCAAGGCACATGGGCCCCCTCAGCCGGCCCCCTCACTCTGACGCCTGCCTCGGGCTCTCGGGGGCTCCGCCGTGGCTAGCGACCCTGCCCGTGCAGCAGTGACCCGTGTCCCCGGCTGCCCTTGGGCTCAGCCACTAAGGTTCTCGACAGGTCGACGCCTGTGTGACAGGCTGCAAACCTGAGCCCGCGGTCAGCCGTGCGGCCATGGCCTTCAGGGCCTCAGCTGTTGGAGGAGGAGGGCTGCCCAGGAATTGGTCCGTCCCGTCGTCCCCACTCAGTTTGTGTTGTGCGTGTTCAGTAGGGCCTCCCCCAGAGACGTTCTCACTCCCAGATTGTCAGGGCGTGGTGGCCCTCGGCCTGCAGGCTGAGCTGGGGGTGCTGTCCACAGGCCGGCTTCTACGACACTGACCCCAGGGCAGCGTCTCTCTGCAGTCTTCCCTCTGCTCTCATTTCTTGGCACCCCCGGGGCCTACTGTGAATGCGTTCTGGCGGGGGGGGGGCCCCCAGCAGGGGAGGGAGCCCAGCACCAGCCCCTGCAGACAGGTGCCTCCCCATGGGGCCACTTTCCAGGCAGGGGTGCTTGACGGCCCTTCCTGACCCCTTTCGTCCCCCGCAGACCTACATCTCCCCCAGTGCGGCCATCATCCAGGCAGAGACGGTGGAAGGTGAGGCCGCGGCCATGTTGCACAACATGCGTGTGTACGGGACATGCACGCTGGTGCTCATGGCCATGGTGGTCTTCGTGGGCGTCAAGTATGTCAACAAGCTGGCCCTGGTGTTCCTGGCCTGCGTGGTGCTGTCCATCCTAGCCATCTATGCCGGTGTTATCAAGACCGCCTTCGACCCACCGGACATCCCGTGAGTCCTGGGCCTGCAGAGCTGGCCCGTCCTGCAAACCTTGTCTGTGCCCGTGACCACTTGCCTGGCTGGGGTGGCGGTGCCGTGGGACGCAGATGCCCCTGCTCTCGCTGGGCTCGGGGGTGAGCCCTCAGGATGCTCGTGCGGCTGCGCCATCTGCGTGGGTGGGGTGGGTCCGGTGAAGGTCTGGGGTGGACAGGGTGCTGCTGGCCCCAAGGATGGCAGCACTGAGCTCCTCCTTGGGTGGCTCAACCTCCATGCGCCCTAGGCCCTGGCTCCCTGGCTCCCCTAGTCCGTGCTTCCCCTCCGCCCCCAGTGGGTTTCTTTCTTGTTCTCTTACACACGTGGATGCCAAGTCCCAGGGAAGTGGCCCCAGGTCACAGCGAGTGAGCGAGCCGCGGTATGTCTGGCACATGGCCTGTCAGGCTGGCCAGGTGGGCCCAGCGCCCGCAGGGCTGGTCCAGGAGGGCCCTGACGGGCTGGGTGGCCACTGGTGTGAGCAGCAGCCACCGCTCACGGCCCATGCGGCACTCGCGTCGCCCAGGGTGGGGTGTCCAAAGCGGCTTAGCAGCCCCCAGCCCGGTCGCCCGAGGGGAGCAGGAGTAGGTGTTTCACAAGGCGCCCGCATGTGCTCACGCCAAACCCCCGCGCTAGGGTCTGTCTCCTGGGAAACCGCACCTTGTCAAGACGTGGCTTCGACGTCTGTGCCAAGTTTCACGCCGCCAACAACAGCACGACGCCCACTGCACTCTGGGGCCTCTTCTGCAACAGCTCCATGCCCAACGCCACCTGTGATGAGTACTTTGCCCAGAACAATGTCACAGAGATCCAGGGCATCCCCGGCGTGGCCAGTGGCGTCCTCCTGGGTGAGCGCCCCAGGGTCCACGTGGGACCGTGCCTGCCCTCCCCCACGGGGGCCCGCCAGGCGGCTGCCGCCCCTGGAGCTGGAGCCATGGTCAGCACCGGGTGGCAAAGCCTGCGGGTCAGCAGACCCTTTCTGGGGTTTGCTGCTGGGTACACATGGGGTCGTGGTTGGGGGGCGACAGGGCTGGTCCGTCTGGTCTTCTTGGAGGAGAGGTTACGCGTCCTTGTGTGAAGTTGGAGCCCATGGGGGCTGGTGAGCCCTCCACCCCCACCGCCTCTGCAGGAGCCTCCCTGATGGCAGGAGCCCGGCAGAAGGTTCCGGAACCTGTTACCGGCCTATTGTGTCCCGCAGATAACCTGTGGAGCACGTATGCAGACAAGGGGGCGTTTGTGGAGAGGAAGAGCACGCCGTCGGTCCCCGTGCCAGAGGAGAGCAGGGCCAGCAGCCTGCCCTACGTCCTCACTGACATCATGACCTACTTCACCATGCTGGTCGGGATCTACTTCCCCTCCGTGACCGGTGAGGCCCTGCCCTGTCCCTCACTGCACACACCTGCCCCAGCCCCCCCAGGAAACGAGCTGCAGGGTCTCTGCGCCCCTCAACGTGCTGATTGCGGTGTGGGAAGGAGCTCTCTCCCAAGCACTCCCGACTGACCAGCCCTCGAGGTCACTGACCCTGGCGGCTGGGCGTGGACCCGAGGGCCGTCCTCACACGACATTCATCTGACCTTCTGGGACTACTCTCGGCGCGCGCCGGTGCCTCAGCCCCTGCCAGGACAGCCCTCAGTGGCCCGGTGCGCAGCGGGAGCCCCCAGCCCCCACCTTGGCCTGGCGCCGGTGGCACGTCCAGCCCTTGCCTGGGCGCTAGGCCGCCGCTCGGGCTTCCCCTTCACCAGCTGGAGCCCCACAGCTTGCAGGCGGGCGCGGGTTCCAGGCGCTTCTCTTTAGTCTCACGCTCTCCCTGTGTGTCGTGGCCAAGGGCGTGGCTGGTGGCGTTTTCTGGGTTTGTGGTAACGGGGGGCTCTCCTGGTGGTCCTGTAGGAATCATGGCGGGCTCAAACCGGTCCGGGGACCTCAGGGACGCCCAGAAGTCGATCCCCACAGGGACCATTTTGGCCATCGTGACGACGTCTTTTATCTGTATCCTCAAAGGGGCCGAGATGAGGGAGGCCCCAGTGCTCTGACCGCTGCCGCCCGGGGGGGAGCCGGGCTGGCGTCTGCCTGACGAGGGAGAATGAGGGACGCCAGGTTGCTGAGCTCATGCCGGCTGCCTCCCAAGCGTCCTCGTGCTGTCGCTGAGGTCTGTCCTTGCCGAGTGAGCCAGCGTCCCCTGCCTGGTGACCGTGGCGGTCATCGGCCGTGTGCAGCCTGACTCAGCTGGAACCAGGATGGGGCCGCGAGGAAGGCGCCGCCATGAGGGCCGTGGGTTCACGGCGGGGAGGCGGGGAGTGGGGACCGGGCAGGCGGGGCGCAGGGCTGGTTCATGCCCACCCGCCACCAGACCCTGCCGATGACGTTTGGCCCGCCGCTTCCTTGACACAAGACACAGACCTGTCCTGCATTGTGCTCTTCGGGGCCTGCATCGAAGGCGTGATCTTACGAGATAAGTACGTTGGTTTTTTTTTTTTTTTTTTTAAATTTTTTTTTCTTGAGAAGGGCAGCACATGGGGGGGGGGGGGGGCAGAGGGAGAAGCAAACACCCCGCTGAGCAGGGAGCCTGATGTGGGACTCGATCCCGGGACTCCAGGATCATGACCTGAGCCGAAGGCAGTCGCTTAACCAACTGGGCCACCCAGGCATCCAAGTACGTTGGTTTTTGTTTGTGGCTTCTAGAAGCTTCCAGGTCAGCATCAGTTTTCTCGTGGATGGTGGTAGCGTTGATCTTGGGACCTCCCCCAGGGTTGAGCCCCACGGCTCCTCTCGGGGCGTTCTGCTCGGTCTGGTGTGTGGTCCTGTCCTGCCCCAGCCTGTAGCTGGGGAACTGCCGAGCGGTCTCCTGCCCGAGAGAGCGTGAGGGGTTCTGTGCGGTTTGGGACGGCGTGGCCATGCCGATGCCACGTCTCAGGAATGACTGGTTTCCCTGCGCCTGAGAAAGGACAGTTAGGGTGGCAGTGGCCTCACTCCAGCTCAGAGCATGGGAAGATGTTTATGTCTTCAGCTCACATTTGAAAGCCCACCCACCTGCCCCACAGGTTTGGGGAGGCCCTGCAGGGGAAGCTGGTCATTGGCATGCTGGCCTGGCCGTCTCCCTGGGTCATCGTCATCGGCTCCTTTTTCTCGACTTGTGGTGCTGGCCTGCAGAGCCTCACGGGGGCACCACGCCTGTTGCAGGCCATCGCCCGCGACGGCATCATCCCCTTCCTACAGGTGAGCGGGGTGGCTGCCCTTCTGAGAGCAGAGGGCCCCGCGGGAAGGGGTGTGTCTGTGAGGGTCCCTGAGGGTCTGCCCCCAGAGCACGATCTTCACGGTTACAGACCGTGAGACCCAGGTCCCCACCGCCAGCCTGGCAGCCTCGCCCTGGGTGGTCACGGTGCTGAGGGTGCAGGTACATGTCGGGGGCAGGGGGTGGCCCCTCACCGCCCTGGGCGGTGGGAACAGTTGAGGGGAGCAACCCGGGGAGCCTCCATCTCCTCAGGGCTGGTGTCTGTCCTGCTGGGCACAGCGTCTTCCCCGCACCACATGCCACAAGCTGGGGTTCAGACAACACACGGGGATTTGCCCACACCGCTGGGGGCGGGAAGTCCCAGACGCGTGGGGCGGGGGGGGGCAAAGCTAGTTTGTCCTTGGTGTGTCACCACCTTCCCCAGCTTCCCCGAGTCCCCATGTGGCCTGCCTGTGCTTTTGTGTTCGTCTTTCTCACAAGGACGCCGGTCACCTGGATTAGGGCCGCCCGTAAAGCTCACGTCTGCAAATGTGGTCGAGTGGCCTTCTGAGGGGCCGGGGCCGGGGCTTCACTGTGGGGCTCGGGCGCACAGGGCCCCTTCGTGCGTGTTCATCGTCAGGGTGGGGGCTGGTCCTCCCCCCTCCAGAGCGCAGTCCTCGCCTTCGCTCCCCAGAAGGTTCCAGCACACTTCACAGCTCTTGTCTGTGGCTCGGCGCAGACAGGGTCCTGCTCTGGGGGTAGTGCCATGTCCCTGGTGCCCCGCCCCGGGTCTGTTTCTGGAGTCATTCCGCGTGTCTGCAGTGTCTGCAGGGTGCTCCGCACGTCTGTTCCCAGAGCCCCTGGGCAGCAGGGACTGTGCTAGAAAAGCATTGGAAGCTGGTGTCCGGAGGCAGCTGTGGCCTCCGCGTGGTCCTGCCCTGTGTGGCTCTGGGCGAAGGGTCCTCACAGTTCTCCATGCGCGTGTGCTGCGGGGGACCCTGCACCTGCCCCTGTGAGGCTGGCCTCAGGATGCCCCGGAGGCCCCCGTCCAGCGCTTGGAGGGGTCACCTTCACCTCCGCCCCACGCTGTGAGGCCCAGGCCCGATGGTACCTCGGCCTTCTTGGTTCTGGGTATCAGCTTTTCCTCCCAGAGCCAGGGAGGGTTCAGGACGGGTTGTGCAAGTCCGCTTCTGCCTCTGTCCCGTCCCTGAGCCCTTCTGGGGCTGCCCCTGGGAAGCTGGCCTTCTCACCGGGACGTGGGCTGTTGTCCTGTGGCCTCTGCCCCCCACGCTCGCAGCCCACCTGCCCTTTGCCTGCAGGTGTTTGGCCACGGGAAGGCCAATGGGGAGCCGACTTGGGCCCTGCTGCTCACGGCCCTCATCTGTGAGACCGGCATCCTGATCGCCTCCCTGGACAGCGTGGCCCCCATCCTGTCCATGTGAGTGGCTGCAGGCCTGGTGGGAGGGGTGTGGGAACAGGCCCCGGAGATGGGGCAAGTGTGCGGCCCCGCTCTGGGGCTGGCCTGCTCAGGGGTCAGCAGACACCCAGTCATGCGGGCCAGGTGGTCCTCGTGGAACGGTGCCGTGGGTGGGGGTGGACGGGAGGGACGGTGCTGTGGTGGGCGGTGGGGAGGCCACGTGGGACCTGACCCCTGGCCCCTCTGGTCCTGTCCTTACGCCTGCAGGTTTTTCCTCATGTGCTACATGTTTGTGAACCTGGCCTGCGCGGTGCAGACCCTGCTGCGCACGCCCAACTGGCGGCCGCGTTTCCGATACTACCACTGGTGAGCACTCCCCCCACCAGGACGGCCCCGGGTCCTCAGTGCATCCGCATGGCCGCTGCCGCCTGCGCCACAGCCGAGCCGGGCGGGCCTAGCACCTGTGTATGTCACCCAGGCCACCCAGGCATCACGGGGCACGTGGTCCCTGCCAGGGGGATGGCCTCCGTGTGTGACCGTGGCCGCATGGTCTCCATGCTGCCGGTGTGTGTGGTGGACGAGTGAAGCCTGTTGTGCTGTGTGGCCCGCGGGGTGCTTGATCGGGCGTCCCACGTCCATGGGCGCGGAGACATGGCGGGCTCAGCCCTCGAGGGTTCAGTGTCCGGGGCGGGTGGGGAGGGGCATCCGGTCACTGGCATCATGGCTGCTTTCTTGCTGTAGCTGAGAAGGGTCTTTGTTAGGGCGCCAGGAAGGTTTCCGGGGTTCTGGGCTTGGGAGGAATGTGAGTTGCGTGTTTCTCCAGGGCGCTGTCCTTCCTGGGCATGAGCCTGTGCCTCGCGCTCATGTTCATCTGCTCCTGGTACTACGCTCTCTTCGCCATGCTCATCGCTGGCTGCATCTACAAGTACATCGAGTACCGCGGGTGAGCTGCTGTGCGTGAGTTCGCCGGCCGGTGCTCCCTGTAGGGGTGTCTCCGTGGGGTCTGCATAGCCCAGTGCAGGGGTGGGGGTGGTCGCGGTGTGAGTCGGGCCCCCGTGTAGGGGCCCAGCTGGGCCCTGCTGTCTGGGCTTGCACACCGGCAGCATGACGGGTGGAGAGCTGTGTTTGCTACCTTGTATTGATTCCACGCCTGTGACACTTTTTTACTATGTGCTTTTTGAGAACTTTGAAGTCTATCCAGTGAAAGCAGTGATGTGTGAGGGATTTCACAATTTCCAAAGAGCGTGCTGCGTCCCAGAGCGCATCCCAGAGCACCGGTCCGTCCCTGGGGCCTGGCTCCCTCCAGGGGTGGGGTCTGAGGGGTCCTGGCCGCTGCCTGGAGGCCCCCTCCAGCTCTTCCCAGCTGGTGAAGAAGGAGTGTCAGGCGTGTGACCACTCCTGGTGAGGCCAGGCCCACCAAGCCTGCTGTGCTCATCAGTGTCTCCGACTCCAGGGTCCCACCCTGTCCTGTCACAGAAACCCCAGGCTGGCTTCTCAGGGAGACTGCCCCTGGAGGCCTGTGGTCCAGGGAAGCTTCAGGGCCCTGGCCCTAGGGTCCCTTCCCAGGCTCCTTAATGCTGCCCCTTTCTTGCAGGGCTGAGAAGGAGTGGGGTGATGGCATCAGGGGGCTGTCACTAAATGCAGCCCGCTACGCTCTGCTGCGTGTGGAGCACGGCCCTCCCCACACCAAGAACTGGAGGTGAGCCCCCCAGCCCACCCCGACCTGGCCTTACGCACTGAGTGCAGAGCGCCATCTCTAACCTCACACTTCAGAGACGGAAACAGTCGCGCTCTCTTTTTGGGGAGCGATTGTCTCGGAAGTTCTAGTACCTTCTCATTGCACGGTGGTTGGCCGTGGCGTGATCAGCCTGGTGGGTGGGGCATGGGGTGAGTGGACCTCCCTGGGGTCCTGCCGAGGATGGAGGTAAGTGCGTGGACCACCAGCCGCACGTCTCCCCACTTCTGGGAGGTCAGGGATGTCCTCTGTGCTGAGAGCCCCCTAGCCTCCATCCCTCAGGCGCCCAGAGGTGTAGCCCTGGGCAGGCTCGCCTGGTGAGCGCGGTCTGTGGTGCAGGCCCCAGGTGCTGGTGATGCTGAGCCTGGATGAGGAGCAGCATGTGAAACACCCCCGCCTACTATCCCTCACGACCCAGCTCAAGGCTGGCAAGGGCCTGACCATTGTGGGCTCCGTGCTGGAGGGCACCTACCTGGACAAGCACGTGGAGGCCCAGCGGGCCGAGGAGGTGGGCAGGCGCGGGCCGGGTCTGCGGGGTGGCGGGCAGAGACTGCAGTGGGCATGGAGGGGGTGGCTGGCGGCCGCGGGACAGAGGTCCGAGCAGGGAGCGCGGGCAGGGTGGGGACGGGTGGCGGGTGAAGCGGTCAAGGGGCAGGCCCGCCGCTTGCTGCCTGCCCTCTGCAGAAAGGTCGGATCAGCACGTTTTCCCTTGCTGCCGTCTGCGAGCGTGGTTTTGACTGAGGCTGCTGAAGGGACCTGGCAGGGGTGGGCGGGCTGAGACCTCATGGAGAGCGTGTGGGTTGGAGGCCCGTTCCGAGGCTGCTCGGTCCCGGCCTTGGAGACGTCCCCCTGGCGCCCGGCTCCCCCGGCGCCCTCCACGGCTTGGCCTGGGCTCCGTCCCCTACACGCTCCCAGTCTCGCATGGCGGCCTGAGGCCCATGTGTCCAGGGGCTCTGGCTGGAGGAGACGCTGACCTCGGCCTGCGTAGGTTGTCTCAGGCACACGTGGAAACGGCTGGCGTTGTGAGCGCCCGGGGGCTGTGTGTTTCCAGGCAGACCCCCCAGGTCCTGTGCTTTTGTCTCTGACGGTCAGGGACTGTGTCCGAAGTGGGAGGCACGTCAGCGCTGGTTTCTGGGGGCGGCCTCCCTGCTTCCGCACGTAGGTCTTCCCTTTCTCCACCGGTGCAGGTGGTGCGGCTCGGTCCCTTGCTCCAGGGTGGGTCCTTCTAACCCTTGGGCAGTCGGGCAGGTGGGGGAGGGGCCGCTGTGTCCCCGTGTCCGGGGGCACTGCGGCTGCATGTCCAAGCTGCGCCGCACCCAGAGGCTCATTCGCATTCAGAGCAGGGGTCGCAGATCCCAGCATCCGACCCTCCCCCCGCCTCCCTCAGCTAGACAAGCCAGCTCCGTGCTGTCGGCGCTTCGCAGGTTCCTCGCTCAGGGAAGGCAGTCGACGTGGTAGGTGCTGTCCCTGAGGCACCAGCAGCTCTCTTTCAGCAGGATCGTAAGCCCGTGGGCTCCAGCGTGGTGGTTGCTGGCCACAGCATGTGGATGTGGACAGTGCCGTCCTTGTGCACGCTGTCCTGTCTTTGGGCGGGACTGCCTCCCGTGGTGCTGACATGCTCGGCCCAGACCCGCCGCGTGGAAGGCAGCCGTCCGCAGCCGTGGCCTGGGATGGTTGTGGCGTGGCCAGATCCCCCATCCTTGCCCCCTTGCCGACACCGGGGGCTGTTGTCATCTTGACACGCGCGGTCCCGGACTTTCCCAGTTTCATTAACAAACCCAATCCTGCAGAAGGTGTTTCACACGCTCTTGTTACTGTAAAAAGGTGGTTTTCTGTTTTAGGGCAGCGTGTGTCTGCGTCAGCTTCGTGGTCCGTGTCGTGCGTGTGTTCGGTTTCTGTTCCTCGATGCTGCTGTGCTTGTGTTTGGGGGTCTCGGTGTTTCTGTGTCCCGAGTGGTATGGTGAGCGGTCCGTAGACATGTCTCGGCCCCCGTGGGGTCGTTTGTAGGAGGACGTCGTGGAGTCGGTGGTGGTGTGCACTTCGAGGGTCTGGGCCAGGTTCCAGGTTTTTGGTCCACCTGCCAGTCTGCGTGAGCAACGTGGGGGACGGGGCCCCTCTGGCCCTGCTCTTCCGTCTCTTGGGGACGCAGCTGTGTGCTGGTGGCTCGGCCCCATCGCTGTGCTGGGAGGTGTAAGGGCTGAGTGTAGGTAACACGGCTGGGTTTCACCCCAGACGTACAGCCCAGTGGGGTACTCAGAGCCGTGGTAACCCTGAGGGGAGGGGACTGCCGTCCGTGGGGCTGGTGGAGCATGGCTGTGTCTCAGAGGACGAGGACCCAGGGGCGCCACGGTCCCCTTGCACCGGGCTTGCTGCCGTGGCCTGACTCGTGAGCTGGCCAGGAGCGTCTCGGCCAGGTTGGGGGCACGGCATTCACCTGGCTTCGTAAATGGAAGCAGCTGGTGCACCCCAACCTTGTCCTTGACCATGCCCGCCTGTGTTCGTGTCTCGGCTCCTGGAGCGGAGGCCTCACTGGGGAAGGGCCGGGCTGGTTCCCACGGAGGGATGTGGCCTCCACAGAGTTGGCTCATGGGCCGGCCAGGATGTGGGGAAGGGGGAGGCCCTCCGTCTCCCGGGGGAATGAGCGAGGATTCCCCGAGGAGGCACCGACCCAGCTTGTCTCCCCAGAACATCCGGTCTCTGATGGGCGTGGAGAAGACCAAGGGCTTCTGCCAGCTGGTGGTATCCTCCAGCCTGCGGGATGGCATGTCCCACCTGATCCAGTCGGCCGGCCTGGGGGGCATGAAGCACAACACGGTGCTCATGGCGTGGCCCGAGTCCTGGAAGCAGGAGGCCAACACTTTCTCCTGGAAGAACTTTGTCGGTGGGTGCTGTGCTCGGGCCCATGGGTGGGGCTCCCACTGGCGTCCCAGTGTCCCACGTCCCGTGGGAAGGCACCCCACAGTGTGATACCTCGCTGCCGTTCCGGCCAGCCCTGCGGTGCAGCGATTCCTGAGAGCCCCACATCCCTTGGGCCGGTGGCACAGTGGCTGGCCGAGCAAGCCTGCACTACCTTCAGCGTGGGCCCCGGGTGGAGCTTCCCGGGGACCCCGTGGCCTCGCCTGCCTCCCACGCTGGCTGGAGCCCGCGAGTCCATGGGGTAACCCGCCGCTGTCTCGCCACAGAAACCGTTCGAGACACCACGACAGCCCAGCAGGCCCTGCTGGTGGCCAAAAACGTGGACCTGTTTCCACAAAACCAGGAGCGCTTTGGCGACGGGGACATTGACGTGTGGTGGGTCGTGCACGACGGGGGCCTCCTCATGCTGTTGCCGTTCCTGCTGCGGCAGCACAAGGTGGGCCACGTGGGGCGGGGTCCCACGGTGGGGGCTAGGGCTCGCCTGCCGCGCGCAGATGCCAGCCCCGTGGCCTGCCCACCAGGTGTGGAGGAAGTGCCGGATGCGCATCTTCACGGTAGCCCAGGTGGACGACAACAGCATCCAGATGAAGAAGGACCTGCAGATGTTCCTGTACCACCTGAGGATCAGCGCCGAGGTGGAGGTGGTGGAGATGGTGAGGCAGTCTGGCATGGTCCTGGGCTCGGGCTCCCACCAGGGCCCATGCTGCCTCGGCTCCATGGGCTGTGGCAACTTTGCAGAGGTTTACCTTTGCCAGGCTCGGGGCTGGGCTGGTGGGTTTAGTGGTTTATGGGAGGGGGACCCCGATGTAACGCGGCTCCTCAGCATGTCCTGCGGGCGGACGTGACAGCGGCCTGTCAGAGGCCGTGCGCCTGCAGTCCAGGCTCCTCGCCTGCAGATCCGTGTTTCTGCCTGCAGACTCTGCCTGGGAGCAGATCCCTGGGGCAGGGGAGCATTCTTGTGCCCATGGCATCTCTCCCAGGGCTGCTGTTTGTGTCTCCCCTGGCCACGGCCAAGCCACGTGGACTCCCGCGATCTCCCCACGTCGGGGTTTACATGGGACCACACGGTGGTTCTGTTGCTCGCGCTGTTCCGCCGTGGCCACTCTGGTGTCTTCAAGGCAGCGCCCACGTCCTGCCTGTCACCCTCGCCAGCCATTCCCGTCCGTGTTCAGGAACCTTACGTGACGTCAGGTCCCAGAAGCTGAACAGAACCGGGGTGGAAATGGTCGTGGGGTGCAGCGTGGCGGGATCGCGCCTTGAGGCGTGGACTTGTGGTTTGCAGTGACTGTACTTGCGTATCAAGGCTGCTAATTTCACTCAGTTTTCCAAGTAGGTGGTTGGTGCATTATGGTTAAAATCCGTGTCCCTGCTTGATTTCAGTCACAACTGCAAGTTCTGTTTCATTGGGAGAGACGTTAGGGATGCAGTTGCATCTCTTCTGTGAGAGCGGGCCACTGTCCAGCCTTGCGTGGCCACGCACTGCGGCGTGGCCACGAGCCGACCGTGGCTGGAACCTGCTTAGCCAGTTCCTTCCATCAGGAGGTGGGCAGGGCCCCTGTGCTCCCTGCTGTACTTTTGGGCCGTTGGCCAGGCCAGCCTCCACCCTGGGCCCAGCCCGCCAGCACAGCAAGCCCACCTCGAGGACAGCGAGGGCCCGGGGCACCGTCTCCAGGAGCCAGGGAGCCCCACGGCGGAAGGGGAGGCCAGAGTCAAAGGCCAACATTGAACAGCAGGAAGTCAGGGTCACTAACAAGGAGGGAGATGCTCCCGGCCAGCAAGGCTTAGAAAAGCCAGTCCAAGTGTTGAGCCTGGACGCGTAAGCAGGAAGGGTTGGGGGTTATCGTTAAGACGTGACTTTAAAGAGTAGACTTTATAGATTTTGTAACAAGTACCAGGGAGTAAGAGTGCGTATCTGGCCGGCAGAGTCAAAGACACCCGGCCAACAGCTAGCCCCCCACGAATGTCTCCGGAGGTCAGCGGTAAGCAGGCTGCCCACCTGTCTCCCTTTTCGGAAGCTGATGCTGGAGCTTAAGTGTTGGAAGCAAGGTGACGTTTGTGCAGACGTCGCTTAAATATCTGGAAAACCTGAGAAAATATTCAGAGTTCAGTAAGGTGGATTGACACAGAAACTGCGTCAGAACACATCTCCGCATGTTTGTGGGACAGGATCCAGCTTGCAGGAGCAGTGAGCAGGGCCTGTGGCCCTGCCGGACGATGGGAGAGCTCCACGGAGGGTCACAGGGTGCTCCCTGTCTTCGGGCCCAAGAGGCAGAGGACATGGTGCTCGCCTGCTGCCAACCCCATCCTGGACCTGCGGGAGGACCCAGGGCCATCTGCCAAGGGTCAGGCCAGGGGCTGGAGAAGATGCTGGCCCTGTTGTCACCGGGCGAGCTCCAGACACCTGTGCAGGACGAGGCGCGTGCTTGGTGTGGGGTTCCCCTGGGAGCAGGCATGGGAGCAGACATGGATTCAGCTGTGGCCACTGTTCCCACTCACGTGATCACCCCCCCACACACCGTTCGGGGGCCGCTGGGGCTGAGGGCGCGAGCGTGGGGGCAGGGGGACAGGCGGCGTGCAGACGGCAGGTGTTGACTCGTGCGCTTCACGCATTGTCTAGGTTGAAAACGACATCTCGGCGTTCACGTACGAGAAGACTCTGATGATGGAGCAGAGGTCCCAGATGCTGAAGCAGATGCAGCTGTCCAAGACGGAGCGGGAGAGGGAGGTGCGCGTGCGGGGAGCGGGCGGGCCCCTGGCAGCCCCACTTGCACGGGGCAGTTGCCCTTGGGGTGTCCAGCCTCAGCTTGCTGGCCTGACCAGCAGGACCAGGTCTCCGCGGTCACAGAGCCATCTGTCCCCACGCCTGGCTTTCTGAATGCCGGGTGGCACGATTCTGCCCTCAGGGCCCGGGGTCCACACCCAGGCTGAGGTCGGGGCCGTGGGGACCCTGTCCGCACACATGGGTCTGCTCGGACCAGCGTCCTCTGGCCTTCCCAGCTCTGCTCCTGTCTGAACCACCATAGCGGCCCCCACCTGGCCTCTCTCCTCCCTCCGTCCCTCGTCCGGCTGAGAGCCACAGTGGGTTGCAGAGAGCCAGCGTGCGGGCCCCTCCAGGCGCCATCCCTGCCCTCCCCTCACGTCACTGCGCGGGTTCTCGGCAGCACCCAGCTCTGCCCTGAGCCCTGTCGCCCCCTCAGGCCAGCTCCCTCTGGGCCTTGGTCGTGGTCCTGCTCCCACATGGCCTGTCCAGCCGGACTCGGGCAGCACTTGACTTCCTCATCCTGCGCCTGGCCCGCCCCAAGGACACGGGCTCCCTGACACACTCTGTGCCGTTGACGAGTGAGGGAATGGGGGTGGGACAGACGGGTGGACGGATAATCGGGGGATAAGGGAGTGAGGACTGGATGGGCCGATGGACAAGTGGGGGGGCTGGAGCTACGTCGAGTGCAGACTTCCGGGTGCATACCTCCCCTTGTCCGCCCGGAGCTGTGGGCTGCTCTCAGTGGCCTTCAGAGCCGGGGCAGGAAGAGGGCCGAGTTGGGTCTGGATGCCCAGGAGGAAGGCCCCGGCTGGGGGCTGGGGTGGCATCCGGTCCCCCGCGAGGGGGGCTGGTCCCGGGCTCCCAGCTTCTCATCTGCACCTGACCCTTCTTGGGAGCACTTTGGAGGCGTGAGGTCACAGAATGGGTCCTGTTGACCGTGCCCTGCTCTCCCGCCAGGCTCAGCTAATCCACGACAGGAACACTGCGTCCCATTCCGCCGTGGCCACCAGGACCCAGGCCCCGCCCGCCCCAGACAGAGTGCAGATGACCTGGACCAAGGAGAAGCTCATCGCAGAGAAGAAGAACAAGGAGGCGGGCGTGTCCGGGGTCAAGGGCCTCTTCAGCCTGAAGCCGTGAGTGCCGGCCGGGGGGCTGGGGTGCTTCGTGGCCCGGCACTGGCCGCGGGCGTGTCCCTGCTGATGCGCGGGCCCGAGGGCCACCGTTCACTGGGATCCGGGCGTCTGTGCTCTTGCTGGATCCCAGCAGCTGGGGGTCAGGGCTCGTGGGGGGCTGGGGACTCCCAGCTGGGACCCCTGCGGGGGCCCGGGTTCTGCCTGCGGCATTGGGCCGAGCACCGCCATCGCTGGCACAGGTGCCTGTGGGGGGCACGGTGCGGCCGGTCCTGGAGGGTCCTCAGTGAGGGGAGGGTCCGGGGATCAGACACCCTCGTGGAGAAGGACCAGGTGGGCCGGGGGAGTTCCTCATGGTCACTCCCGAAGTAACTCGTTCTTTGTGTTTTCTCTCCCATGTAGAGAATGGGGAAATCTGTAAGTCCTCTCACTTTATTTAGGATGCTTCTTAGACCTGTTACCATGCATGCTTGGCCCGTGCTGCCTTGTGAACCGTGTGTGCATGTGTGCACGTGTGGACAGCCCTGTGTGTGTGCACGTGCCTGCACGTGCTGCAGCCCCCCTCCGTCCAGACGGCTCAGGGCACACAGCTGAGCTTCCTCCTCGAGCAGCGCCAGGACTGCGCTGCAGGGAGGGCGGGTCCTGAGCCGCCGGAGCAGAGAGGAGCTGGCACTCAGTAGCTCTTAGCTGCTCCGTCCGCATCCCTGGAGGCTGAGCGTTTGGACAGGTCTGCTCCCTGCCCTGGGTGCTCTTCACCCAGGAAGCCGCGGCCCGGGCGTGCAGAGGGGTGTGGACGGACCCTGTGCATGCTCCGACATGGGGGCGCAGCTGGATGGGCCGCTGTGCACCCCTGCCCCCCCAGCACCTGCGGGTGTGCCCCCCGCGGAGGGGTGGCCGGGCGGTGTCCACAGCAGAGCGCCAAGGCCAGGTCTTGCTCTTCTTCTGCAGCCCTTGGGTGTACACCACGGAGACGGGCAGGGGTTGGGCGTGGAGGGTGTAGAGCCTGTAGACATGCAGGGATCCGCAGGGAGGTCCCCGCGTAAAGTCACCGAAGACAACAAAAGCGGGGAGACACAGGAATGTGGTTTCTCCCCAAAAACGCTGTGAGCTGTGGGCCTGCTGACCCTGTCCCCGGGGCTCTGGGGGGCCTCCTGGTCGAGGGTTAGGCTGGGAGAAGGTCAGCCTGTAGGTGGCAGGGGACTGAGTGACGGGTGGCTGGCTGTCCCTGGGGCGTTGGTGCGTGCAGGTGCTCATCTGCTTGTGTTTGGTCCGTTGTCCGTGCCATGTGGCCCCCAGGAGCCCAGGGACCGGAACCCCAGCTTCCCGGCCATGCCGGCCACATGCTCATCGCTCACCTGCCCCTCCTCTGCCCCGGGCGGCCCCCCACCCCCAGCCTCAGTGGAGGCTCTGCCCCACCAGATTCAGTATACGCATGACCGGTTCCCTTACTCTGTGCATTTACGGCCCGCTGTGGGGAGCAAGTGCAGGTTTCTGCTGGCTTCCTGGAAATATGAGGGCCACACGTTGGCCGGCTCCGCGCCCCTGTGACCTCCACAAGCCATGTCACCCTGGAGCCCAGGGCCCTTCCAGCCAGACCCAAACCCCTGATTTTCAGATTATATGTGTTTTCAGACTTTCAGCCGTAAGGGATCCTTCAATACCCCACAGACGCTCATTTCTGGAGTGACTCTTGTCCCCAAACACTGGTAATTGTGCTCTGTCCAGGCAGCTAACTCATGGTTCTTGTGATGGAAGGTCCCTGATTGTGCCATGGACAGGTGCCCAGTCTGTAATTTTATCAGGTGAAACTGGACAGAAAGAGCCCCGGCTCCCTGTTTTTCTCCTGGGAATTGGTGGTTGTGATCTGGTGTATTTGGCTTGACGGCTGAGCTGGTGACAGGGCGTGGCCCGGAGGCGGCCCCAGCGGGCCCTCCCCCGACCCTGTGCCCTGGCCTCTGTCCCCCACCCCCACCCCGAGTCTGGGGCACGGTGACCTGCTCTCGGCAGGGCTGCAGCCTACACAGCCGGGCTGCCTGCGGATTCCACCGTGCAGGCCACCCGAGAACTGGCAGAGTTGCCAGGGTTATCCAGCTCAGGAGGGTGGATGTCTTGGAGACGGTTAGCTCGCCCAGGCTGCCTCTCCTGAGTGTGCTTCCTGGGACACACTCAGCCCGTGGGGACCCGTGGGGACCGTGGCCACCTGGTGCACATGGGGTAGATGAGGACGAGACCCCGTGTGCGCCGGGGAGTGCAGGCGGGCGGGCAGGAGTCTGCCCGGGACGCTTGGAGGACCATCAGTGCCCAGTGGAGTGCGCGGAGCCGGGTGGTTGCGAAGAACAAGGGGCAGGGGTTGGGTTGCTGAGCGTTGGAAGCGCTTGTCCCTCGGCCATCTGCCAAGGGCAGCAGTGTCCAGGCTACCGAGCCTGGGGTGGACCTTGTAGCCTTGTTCTTGACCAGCATCTCCAGCCTGGGCACCAGGTCTGCACAGCATCTCTGGGCTCTCCTCTGCCCCCAGCCTGTCAGGACGAGTGAGTTGCCATTGTGTGCTTGAGCAAGCTTAGCTCAAGGCCAGTGTGAAGCAGGGCTGGGCCATGACGCCGAGGCGCCCGGTTGGGGTGGGGTTAGAGCCTTTCACCTTCAACAGTGTGCTGTTTGCAGCGGGGGACATTGCTCGTAGATGGAAAAGCTCGGTTTTTAGAACGTTTGGAGACCAGAGCCTTCTTCTTGTTGGTGGGTAATGTCCCCGGTCAGTGCTCACCAGCCTCACATGGAGTACCCTCCCCCACGGGGTCTTTGGGGGAGGTGACGCCATTTGAATCCTGATGTTTCTCCTTGGGACTGAGATGGGCTCACAGGGCTCAGGCCGGCCTGGCGCCCAGAGCTGTGGGCCAGAGCACCAAGTGGTCCTCCTCCCACAGGAACCAGTCCAACGTCAGGAGGATGCACACGGCCGTGAAGCTCAACGGTGTCGTCCTCAGCAGGTCCCGGGGCGCACAGCTTGTCCTGCTGAACATGCCGGGGCCCCCCAGAAACCGGCAGGGGGATGAGAACTGTATCCTTTGTGCGTGCAGCCCAGCAGGCTGGGGAGGCTGGGCCACTCCACCTCCCGGGGACAGGGCTGTCTTGCCCGGAGGATTCCTGGGTTGGGGGCGGGAGCAGTGGGGCCCCACGCGTGGCTCCCGGTGCCAGAGCCTCCAGCCCCTGGGCTGAACCCACGCAGACCAGGCAGAGGGCCAGACTTGGCCCCCCACTCTGAGTGCCAGAAACTGGGGGCCCCAGGTGAATGGTTCTTGATTGGTTTGGGGCATCAGTGACTCTGAGGAAGCCGTAAATGTGGGGGGTATCCTGGGCACCTCAGGCCCTCCGTGAAGAGCCTGTCACACACAGGAATTTGGACCACGGGTGAGACGAACACAGACACAGAGCCCCGGCCCCGAAACGCCCAGTGTGGGGGCAGTCACCACACCCCTAACCCCAGACCCTGCTCGCCATGGGTTCCGGTGCTGGCTCTGACCTCCTGCCCGGCCCACTCCCGTGCTGGGCGTCTTCCTTGAGATGTGGGGGCACCGTGTACCCTCATCCCGGATGAGCTATAGCACAGGTGGTCCCTCACGTGCCTCCCAGCCCTTCGCAGCTTGTGCCCCTCCTGGTTGGCTGGAGGCTGCCAGGCCTGACCTCAGAGGTCACAAGTCAGCTCTACCATGAGCTGGGTTCGCACCCTTAACCGTGTGTCCTGTGATGGGGACTTGGGTGCCTAGTGGGTGTGCAGCCTGGGGGCTGCCCTCTGGGGTATGGCCCCCGCCCTCCCCTCTGGCACTGGAATGCGGGTGGGTGGGGTTAGCAGGTGGCTCTTGGGCTTAAAAGTCTTGATCTAACCACAAGCTTGAGGACCCTGTGCTTGGTTGGTGACCAGACTGGGACTTGCGGGCCTGTTTGGGTTCTCGATGGACTCCTGTCTGTGCCAGAGCCCCGGGGTGAGGGTGGGGCTCTGGTTCCCCGTCAGGCTGGCCGTGGGCGCGTGCTGATCCTGAGTGTGCATCCGCCAGGCACCTGGCTGAGGCCTGTGTTGGGCCTCTGCCTGGAAACCGACCTCCCTCTGCCCGGGACTCCTGTGAGTGCAGCCAGCTGTCCTTAACTCAGGCCACCCCAGACATGGAGTTCCTTGAGGTCCTGACCGAGGGGCTTGACAGGGTCCTTCTGGTCCGGGGCAGCGGCCGGGAGGTGGTTACCATCTACTCCTGATGCTCAGCCACCCAGGAACACGCTGGGCGGGCTGGGGATTGTGCTACACGTGGCCTCCTATGGAAGTTTCCAGAATAGCCCCACAGCTCTCCCTCCAGGCGCAGAGCCAGCCCGCAGCTGCGGTGGTTTCCTCGCGTGGGGGGAGGCGTGGATGCCCCTGAGGGAGGCTCGCGGTGACCCGGGAAGAGACCAGCGGCTCTGGCCATGCACTCAGGCTGTGGGTTCCAGAAGCAGTTTCCGTGGCCAGACCTGTCTGGTTGTCAGGTTGCATGTCAGTTCTGCCTCGTCCAGGATGCTCACGAGAAACCCCCGCTCGATCTGAAGGTCACCTTGGGCCACAGGGATCCGTTCAGGAAGGTGGCCGAGGGCCTCAGCCCCTCGGTCAGCCTCTTCAGCGCCTGTCCCTGTAGCGTCCCTGTTTGTGTTCCTGTAAATTAAGGCCGAGGAGAGCCATCCACCCCGACTTGCTGGGTGGCCTTGGTCAGCGTGCCTCAGCCTGCCTGCCTGGTGCAGGAATGTCTAGGAGGGGAACCCCAATTCCTTGGGGACGTGGACGTGGGTGGTCATTCCGGGTGGGCGCATTCTGGGGGGTTCGGCTCCAGGAAGCTGCCTGAGGGGCAGAGGCCCACGCGAGGGTCCTGCCACGCCTGGGCTGGGTTTGCAGCTGGGACGCCAGCCACATCCTGCACAGGCGGCTGGGCCCCGTTTCTGAGAATTCACCCACAGTTCCCCGCCTGACGTGTGCGTACCGGTGGCCCTCGGTTTCCACGTGCCAGGCTCCATGGAGGGGGTGCCTGGGGCCTCAGCGGCCCTGAGTCAGCGAGCCGAAGCCCGTGTGCCTGTCCCCTCCTGCCAGCGCACGGGGGACGGTGACAGCCACGCGCAGGGCACTGTGAGCTGTTTCAGTGGGCTGTGGACTTGCTTCGTGGTCGTGGTCCCGATCATGCCGCCGTAGCTTGCGGTGACCTGTGCCTCGTGTGTGCGGTGTATTTATTTATTTAAGCACCTGGGGATTTCAGTGGTAATTAGGGCATCAGTGAAGAGACTGCTTCTGCGAACGAGCCCCAAACGGCTGCGTCCTTGGCTTTCTCTGGCTTCCTCGGACCCCAAGGAAGTCACCTGGTCCACAGATTTCAGGTCAGGGCAGAGGCTAAACGTCCAGACGTTCAAGGAGCTGTTGGGCAGCACAGAGGGTCTGCGTCGTCAGAGTGATCACCGGCCAGAGCGTGTGCCAAACCGCTACAGCCACGCCTGGGCATCTGTACTCTTCCCGCTGCGGTTCTGCACCAAGTGAAGCGGCGAAACCCAGCTCCCTGGCCCTCGGTCCCCTCGTGTCGGGAGCGGAGCCGTGTCCCCAGGGCCCCATGGCGCTGACACTACACTGCAGACGGGCTGCATGGCAGGACCTCCCCCGTGCCCCCGACCCCTGTTCACGCGGCGTAGACCTTAGCACAGCTGCAGTGAGAGGGCTCGGCTGCATTCGTGCACACCCCCCTCCACACGGAAGCCCACGGGCAGCCGACTAAGGTTGGTTCCACGTTGTTTTCTAGCTTCCTTGTCTTTATGATTTGTTGGTAGAAGAATAAATTGTATAACAGCTGAGTACGTGGACGAGTCTCCGTGTCTCATTCAGCGTGAAGGTGGGACTGCTGGAGAAGCACCCTCCCTCCCTCCCCGTGGGCGTTCTGGTCTGATAGGCCACGGCACACAGGGTGGCTCACACATCACCTGCACTGCCCAAGAGGAGTAAAGAACGAAGGACGAGGACCTGATGCTGCCGGGTGCTGAAGTCGTAATTCCCAGGAGGGTGGGATCCGCCGGGAAAACCTGTCATTAGAGGGGGCCCCTGGTTCCAGCATCCAGGCTCGTGGCGCGAGCACTTACCGCCCTACGGGAGAACAAGCGTGAGACCCCGGAGCCCTCCCATGTGGCTGGGGGGCAGCGAGGAGGTGCCACAGATCCTGAACCGCTAGACTGTGGCCTCCCAACCCACTCCCAGAGCCATAGCCAAGGGACCTTGTGTCCCCACGTGTTCACAGCAGCGAAACTGCGGGCGCCCAGTATCAGCCGCTGGTGAGTGGGAGACCACGGGGTCTCTGTCCTCCAGGGAATGGAATTCTAGCAGCCTTGAGGACGTGGGGCCACGCAGAAGCAGCCAGTCAGGGCACGTGTCCTATGCTAACATGTACACGGAATGCCCAGAACGGACAAAGCCAGAGAGACGGTGTGCTGGTGACCACCCCCCGGGGGGGGGTCGGGGGCAGGGAGAACCCGTGACCCTGGGCACAGGGCTGCTTTGGGGGTGACGGGGGTGTGCTACAGGGGTTGTGGAGTCTGCACCTCCTGAACAACTAAGACGCTCAGCATGGAGGCCGTGGCGGAGGCCGTGGCGGAGCCGTGTGGCCTGGGCGCGCACCCTGTGTCCTGGGGGCCTGGCTCGTGGCGGCTGCAGCACCATCAGGAGTGGCCCTCCTTCGGTCCTGCTGTGAGCGCTGGCTGGGCCCGAGGCGCCCACACACGTGACTTGGAGCAGAGGCCTGGCCTTTAAGGCAGGGGACCCAGATGTCCCGGGCACAGAGGGCAGGGTGGGGCACGCAGATGGAGCCGCACGGGGAGGACCTATAGCGGAATCCGAGGGTCCTGACTCAGCCACCGGTGCCCGGGGGGCCCATGGGGCAGGTTCTGTGAGCGAGCGAGCCTGGGCAGTGTGGGCAGCAGAGCCGAGAGGCCCCCGTGGGGCTTCAGACTCCGTGTCAAACCTCAGAGAAGTTTATCGAGTCCTATCACTGCCAGGAGGGATCCCGGCCCCCCATGGGCCTGAGCGGCGGTCGTGCCCTGACGTGCCCGAGACCCTTCTGCACAGCTGTGAGCCGTCCATGCCTCGGCGAGGAGGCATTAGCCAGCACCAACACGCGTGTGGGGGGAGCTGTGACCGGATGACAGAGGAGAGACAGGGTCAGTTCTAGGCATGGGCAACGGCACGTGCCAAGGCCCCGAGGCAGGGACAGCCTGAGGGTGGGAGGGGCTCCCAGGTGGGGACCGGGCAGGGGACTAACTGTCAGAACAGCGGGAGCCGGGCCTCTGGTGTGGATGGTGGAGGCTGCGGAGCCGACAGCAGGGGGTGGGGGGCCAGGAGATGGGGGCCCTGCTGGAGATAGAGGTGAGGGCAGGGCACAACAGCCCGCCTGTGGCCAGGGAGGCCTAGACTCCGGCATTGGGGTGACGGGGCCTCTGGGCACTGGGAGCAAGGCCCAGGAGATCTGCGAGCCCCGAGGAGCTCGAGGGCCCCGTGCTTTGGGCTGTCGCTCCAGGCTCCAGCCTTCAGCCTGCGGTTCCAAGCTGGTGGGAGGGGAAGGCCGTGAGGGTTAGGGCAGGCTGGGGGACGCTGGCCTGGGAGTTGAATGAAGCCCAGCCGCCGGCATCGGGGACGTGGCTGTGTTCACTGTGTCACGGGCACGGCCCCACGGGGTGGGGGCGGTAAGGAAAGGGTTAAGTGGTGCTGGTGTTAGGTACTCCTCCCAGGCGGAGATGGTCACAGTGAGGTTCTGTCCGTGGTGAGACCATGGCGTTAGCAGCCCACATTCCCTCAGGATTCATGCTCAGCTGATGCGGGGACCCCAGGCGGACAGGCGCCCCCTCCTTGCAGGGCTGGGCTGGGCTGACTGCCTGCCTGGGGCTGCTACCTGCGCCTGGCACCGCCGGGGCCCCTTCCTCCCAGGCCCAGACCCTGCGTGCGGTCCTTGCTGGCAGCCGTCCCTTGGCTCCTGCACCCAGGCCCCGGGGTCTGGCCCTGCTGGTGCCTCTCCTGGGGCGGCCGGGTGCCAGGCAGGTGCCCACCAGCTTCCTCCCGGGCTCCTTGCTTTCACCAGGACCTCACCGGGCGCTCAGGACAAGACGGTTTCTCTGGCTTTGCGTTTTTTCCTGCGGTGGGCTCCGGTGCCCCGACGGAGAGACAGGGGTGAAGGTGAGGGGGGCGGGAACCAAGAGGTCCCAGACAATTCCTCGCAGCATCTGCCCCTCGCCGCTGGCCGCTGGGTGGGGTCACGTGGACTTCTGCCTCAGAGCAGAGCAGCCCGTTGATCCCGGCCCTCATCCGGGACGCCCTCTGCACAGCATCGCCTCCCTGACTGTCCTTCGCGAGTGGACAGCGTCTGGGGAAGCGTCTCGAGGAGCGTCCCCCTTTTCTCTCCTGGTTTCGGGTGGGAAACACTCCGCCAGCTCAGAGGCCACGAGCAGGGTGTGGCTCCAGTGGCCCTGCCTGCCACGGGTGGTCTGCCAGTGGGAGTGGCCCAGGCAGGCATGGCGGGTGGTGTGGATCTCCGTTCCGGGAGGCGCCCCACCGTGTGAGCCCCCCGTGGGCGCGTGCATGCCTTTGGTGCACCCCCGGGATGGGAGCTCCCGCTCAGCATTTCCAGGGGCTCGCACCAGTGTGCGCGCCCGCCCGCCCGCCAGCACCCCAGAGCATCCTTCACGTCGTATGTTCACCTGGAGTGGATCCGGGTTTCGGTCAGGGGACCATTTCTACGTGGGCACCCAGCCCGTGCTCCGTAGGGCCACCGTTGTCCCAAATGTAGTGGCTGTGTTTGTAGGGGCTGCATCTGGGCCTCCTGTCCTGCTCCGTGGCTCGCTTAGCCTGCCCTTGGCACGCCGAGTTCATTTTCGTGGCCGCAGCGTGTCCTGGCGATGGTCAGTGCCTTCACCTCGCTGCACGTTCTCACCCCTTTGCATTTCCATGCATTTTAGCATCAGGAATCTGGCTGAGATCTCAACTGGGACCGCGTTGCTGCTTCGAGCTGCCTGTGTTGACCCACCCGTGCACATGCCCCTCCATTTAGATCTTTCCAGACGAGGCCCGATGAAGTTCATGGTGCCTGAGTTGAGATCTTGGCCGTCCAGGCGTTTGGCATTGTGGGTGCTGTTGTAAGTGGTCTCTGCAGTAGTCAGGGTTCCCCAAAGAAACAGAAGCATAATACACAGAGATACAGGAATTGGGTCCCGTGATTACCGAGGCTGGGAGGCCCCGGCAAGTCCGTGGGGCTGAATCAGTCTGAGCCCTGAATCCTGAGATCCCAGAGCTCCCGGATGCCTGGGAACAGAAGGTGGACGCCCCAGCTCAAGGAGAGAGCGAGAATTTGCAGGACCGTCGCCCAGTCAGCCTGGACGGATGGGGAGGGCAGCACTGCCCCAGCGGGCAGCTGGGAAGGAGACGCTGGGCTTCCTGTGGCTTCAGTAGATACTGGCCGTGCCCCGGCTGGGGCTGAGGAAAGGACCTGGAGAGGCCAGCCGCTGCCTCAGGGAGGAGCAAACGCAGACAGGCCAGTCCCCTGCAGCGCACCTTCTCATCCCCAAGTCCCGGGTCTCAGTCTGGTGCCGATTCTGGCCAGCTGCGATTCGGGCATCCCTGACAAACGCCTGGGCGCTTCCATGCCACCCGCCCCTGCCCACAGCCCCAACACGGAACCCTCAGGCTGTCCCCGGCACTGCCCACCTTCCCTGCCCTGTGGAACAGGGGCGCCAATTGCGCCTGACCCCATCGGGGCAGGGCTGGCCAGGCACCCGACTCCTGCCCGCCTTCCTGAGCAGCACCCAGGCCTCCTGCTTTCCCCTGACCTCCAGGCCCACTGTCCCTCCTGGCCTCTGTGGGCACTTCCCGCGGCAGGCCACACTGAGGCCAGAGGGGGCTCTGTTTGGAGCGAGGCTTCTCGGGAGCATGCACTCTGGGCTGACACTCCTGGCTCACTCATTCCTTCACCCTCCAGTGCCCACTAGGCTGCCCCTGTGTGTGGTGTTGTGCCTGGTACTGAGGACAAGGCGTGTGGCCTCGGAGCTCGTGGGTTGGCGCCCAGGAGCAGACAGGAACGAGGTTCCAGGTAGCAGGCATGGGTGAGGCTAGCGTGCTGGTGGGGACACAGGTCTCCCCAAGTGCGGTGAGGAAACACAGCCGAGAACGGCCCCCTGGGATGAGGGTGGCGTGGGGGTCTCGCAGGGGCAGGCATGGCGTGCGGATGTTGTGGGGAGAGGAGGGGGGCAGGTGCTGCCCCCGGCCTCTCCAGACGGAGCCCCGCTTACACACGGCCACTGTCTGTCAGCCTTGGTCCGCACGGCCCCAGATGCGGTGCCAAGTGTCCCGTTACCACGAGCCCAATTTGGGGCTTAGGTTTTGGGGTTTCTTGTTTGCTTATGCAGTAAAATGGGGGGAAAGCTTATCCATCAATACGGAATGTGCACGTACGTGTGCGTAAGAGACGGACGCGGCTCTCCCACGCACCCGGTGGGGCGGCCTGGTCCGCACACGCGTGCCCACACACTGCCGGTGCAGGTGGACAGAACGTCTCTGAAATGCTTGTTTTACTACAAGGTATGACACAGTACAAAATGCACGTATTTTTATTGAGCCGGGGCGGGTGGCTTGCTCATGCCTCAACCACCAGGGCTTTCTCAACCATGGCGCCCAGAAGACAATGTGGAACCGCCGGCACAGACCTCAAGTTGCTGGCAGGTCAGCTTGCTCTTCTAGAGCCTCCTGCCTCCCGCTGCCCGCACCCCCAGGCCTTCCTGCTTGTCTGCAGCCCCTCTCTTGATGTCCCAGAGGGAATTCCGCT